TATGGGTGTCCTCCAGAGCAGAGAAGGCAGCCATGTGTTTTGGGGGAAGAGCTGCTGTTTGCTCTCTATTCCATAGCTTTTCTTTCTGTCAGCATGATTATTTTGAACATCAGTGTGCCAGTAAGGAGTTCCTGGATGCTGAGCAGATGCAGCCACAAAAAAAGACTCTGAAGTCTTTATTGCTGATAAATTTGGAGGAGGAAAATCCCCAGGCAGAAAAGTACCAGATCTCAGAAAAAGAGAAATTAATTTGGGACAAAAGAATGAGTTTAGTTTATGTGAAAAACTTACTTATCTTTGTAGCCAGAAGAGAAGAAACGAGAAGCTTGAACATCACATTTCTAAGTCTAGCACTTTTTCAGAAATTCATTTTCCACCATAAAGGGACCACTGTTACTTAGTGCTGGGAGAGGTGACAAACCTGATCTTTTACTATCAGATTGACTTTGAAAAAGATGGGCTTTACATGCTTGCTCCAGTACTGTAGTTGCCTACGTAGATAATAGTATACTTGATATTTATAAGCAGAAACTGAGAAATTGAGTAGTACAGCCCAAAAGATGCCCAAAGCTTTAAAAAAAAAATAAATAAGGAACTGCTGAAGGCCCATGAAGCTTGGAGAAGAGCCCATAGCAGGTTCCTGGAACTGAAGCTACACAGACACTGCTAGTGGTGCTGTGTGAAGCCGGCCCCAGTGACCAAGCCTAGCAAGTGAAACAAGATCCATTAACCTAATATAAGCATAACTTTAATAAACATGCACAAAAAATAAAGTTTATGGCAAACTTCACTGAGCATCTTGTTTAAACAAAGTATTTTGAACACTGCAGGGTATACCTGGGAGAGGAGAGAAGGGTGAAAAAGGCATTCCTGGATTCCCTGGATTGGTGGTAAGGAATCTGCAGTATAAGCTACTTCACAATTTTATTATAATTAGGTTCATAATATATTTGGCAGTTCAGGTTTGCATTTCCAAGTAAGAGTTTAAGGAGTTTTTTTAAACTAATCTGTCAGACTTCAACATAAGCTCACACAGACTTTCTGTCCTTGGAAAAAAAGCAAATCTATAGGGCTAATCTTGTAAATATTTGGAGCTGCATAAAGCTCCTCTGGAGCAGCACGGTGGTAACACAGCAGTTTTAATGTATTCCATACATGCCAACGGCAGTGTTTTACAGCAGCTTGTGCTTGATGTGTGTAACACTGGTTATGTGGAACAACACATGCACTGCTGTGCTTGGTGCAATATGATTAAGAAGTTAAGTAAAGACCTGTGTGCTTTACTTTGGTCTATAGTTCAAATTCAGGTCCCACTCTCATTTAAAGTGTTTGCAAAATCTTTGCAAAGTTTGGGAAATATCCCAAGTAATGATTAACTAACAAACATTCACTCTTCTTCATTCTGAATAGGTGTAAATTTTAATAAGCTTTCAGTGGTTTAGCTCACACTGTACTTGCCTTTATCAGGGTGATCCTGGTTCTTACGGACCTGCAGGTTTTCCTGGAATGAAGGTAAGATGACCAAGTATAAGCAGCTCCCTGAATGGTGGGATCAGTGAGATTTGGGTTTCTGAGGGTTTTTACCGATTTGGAGTTTCCACATACTGGATAGCTCACATAGCATTCCTTCCCTTCTCTCCTGCTGCCTGTTGCTACAGAATTTATATGAACTTTGTCTTTTAATTTCTGCCACTCTCTGAGATGTGGCTGAAGTTGGCTCATGGGGTATGAAGTTGCAGGCAGGAGGAAGAGCCAGCGGGACACACATATAGCAGGACAGAACAGTCACTCAGCACGTTATCTTGGCTTGCCATAGTGACTTTGTGTTATATGCATGTTTTGATCATCTTTCTGGCTCAAGAGACTCCAGTTCTGCTTTTAAGTCTGCTCAGTGTTAGTAATGAACTTACATCTTACTGGAGTAAAGAACAGCAGATGTAGGTAGGTAGATCTACATCTTGCCCTTTTTCTTGCCTCCTCTTCCCAGCTCATTTTCACATCTATTTAAGGTAATGATCATGCTATTCATAAATCACATTAATGTATAGATATTTGCATTTAGAATTATGTGCCAGGTGATTGTTTTATCTGCAAAGATACTTGTTAGTTTTTTTTACCCCTGCCTACCTAAAGAGCTTGAATAATAGATGGAAGAGTACATTAGTAAATAATGAAAGCAGAGGAGGAGCTGATGTGCAGCTGCTTTCCATGCAGTAATAGTTTAAGAGGTTCATTCAGCAGGCAGCAAACTAATTTCAGCTGCATTAAGCAGATGAGCCTGCTGTTATGTATTCCAGCTAGTTCTGTGCCCCAGCTACACTGAATCTGCTGACCAGTGTCTAAATAACCTGGCAATACACATTGTGGGGTTTTTTAACAGACAAGATGCTATGGATCTTACTGTCTCTTGTGCAAACCCAGGGTATCTCCTGAAACAAACTGCAGCTACTATTACAACATGACAGTATTGTATGACTGCCTTACTGTTTTTGTTCAATTAGATTAATCAGTGAAGACCTTAATGTAATTAACTATATTCATGTGATATTTTCCAGGGGGAAACAGGATTTGCTGGCTTTCCTGGACAACCTGGCTATCCAGGCATACAGGTAAAAGAACAACAGGGACACGTGCATGCACATACACATAGAAATGATTCCTCCCAAACATACCTGCTTATCAGACCTTTTATACAGTCATAATTTCTTTTAAGGTTTACAGTTTTCATGATAGTCATAGTTACTCAACACCGTGGTAGTAAAAACCAATGTAAGTAAAAATTCCTCCTTGGTGCATACAAGACTGGGAATTCCAGTTTGTGCAACACAGAAATTAATTAATCCAGATTGCCCACAGTTACCTATTAATGCTACTAATGAATGTGACTGTATTCTGAAAAAGGCAAGAAGTGTTTATTTCCCACTGAAGCAGCCTTTTTTGGAAAGCTGCACATAAACCTGAAGCACCATTTTTCCTGAAGCACCATTAGTTGCACCTGTGAAATCAGAGGAACGGCACTTGAGATTTGAGCAAGAGTCACCTCTGATAGAACTTGAAGGTTCAGATGGGAGCGCACTCCACATAATCTGTGATGACAAAAGGAAGTAAGTTGTGGCTGGTCCCAGTTTGCCATAAGTTTAAATTTCAAAATGGTTTCTAAGTTTATCAGAGGAGGAAATATGTTAGGTTTATTTTCTTTCCTGCCACACAGGATACTCTTTTATGTCGTTAAGGAACACAAATTTACACTGATGTTTAAAATAACCAGAGATGACACAAGGATGCTATTTCATTCTGCAAGATACAGTCAAAGGAAAAAGGCCAGCCAGGAGGCCAAAGGTCAAGAGAACAACATGCCATGACAGCTCCAGAACTCTTTAAATATCTTAGAGAAATCAATATTAAAAAAAAAAAAAAAAGCCCAGGGAGAAGCACGGGCTCCTTGTTTTGATGTGTGTAAGAATGGGTATTGAGTTTTGCAGTCCCAGTTCTCTTTGCCTGTGTCCTAAAAGGCCCTGAACTGCAGTCCCAGGAATGCACTCTCACCACGCGCTTCCCACAGTCTCATTCTTGTGTTCTCTGTTCCTATTTGCTGCAGAGAGCAATGCTGATTCTTAATCTACAAAGCAAAAAGGCTAATACAATTTGCCACACAAAAGGCATCCCTAAATTCCACTTCACTTGCAGCTCCAAAATCAGAATTCAAGCTAATTTAGAAATCCTCCAAGCAGAATGATTTTCCTTGCCATTAGTAGGCACTTTGATGTTTCCCTAATGCATATGTTTTAAGCTTCTTTTAGGACCTTTGAGTATCTCTTAGCATCAATAATACCTGTCAGACTGTGAAACCTTTTCTTAATGCTTAACTCATCACAGAAGTAATTTCCAAATTCTGGTATAGATTTTTAAGGCAAATAATTACAGCTTGGTTGTTACATGAAAATGTCTTTGTTAAATGGGTACTGATTTCCTATATTTGAGTAATGCTGTAACTGAATAAAAGAAATTAATGAAAACAGATAGAGCAGCCACAAGTTCTGAAGATACAAATAAATATGTGATAGGTATGTTACTGTTTAAGTCCCTGGTATCCTGAAAGATTATTTTAAATCTTTTTGCCTGGTTTTAAATGCTATAAAAAGTCAAAACTGAGTTTCCCAGGTGATGCATGCATGTCATATCCTTACATACTCCACTGCTGTTGAGCTTTCAGGTACAGCCTAGCACACTGCATATTTCTGTATGCCAGTAAAATCTGTTGTTGGACTCTTACAGGGGGATCCAGGAGAAAGAGGACCCCCAGGTCCTCCTGGAGCTATTGGAACTCCGCTGATTCCTATAAAAGGTTATAGCTAGTTTTAACTAGTCTTTCTGCTGTGTAATGTGTGTAGGACCTATTTTGCTAAGGTGTTTGAGAGTCATCACTAGGGAATCAGGGCACAGGATCCTAAAACATCTTTCTAGTGGGCACATTCTGTGTTTTTGTCTCACTCATCTTACTGGAACTACACTGAACATACAAGTTTCAGATTAAGTGTTTGCTTGAAAGACTTTTATGGGTACAGTCACAGCTAGATCTGCAGGACTACCCCTAGTTATTGGACCTAAGCATATATAAGAAAAGGCTGTGAAAAGTAAGCCCATGCTGCATAATTTCACCTAGAACAATTCTAAAATGACCTCCCTGTGTGCATTGTCAAATATGCACAACATGAGATGCACATTTATTTTAGATGCTCCATGTATTTACTTTGTACAACATCTCTCTTGATATTCTGAAATATGTAGTACAAAGATACTACTGCAGAGTGACGAGGAGTTAAAACTGTGCCCATGAAATGGGCAGGAATCCATAGAAAAATAAGCAAATCCTCCCACCTTAAAATAAAATTGTTACACATTTAAAAACGTTTTATAAAGTTGAGAGAAGTTACTGTATTTCCCTTTTGCACAGTTCCCAAATTGTAATTTTGGTTGCAGTTTAATGTAGATTTAAGTTGTCAATTGCATAAGGTGTTCAACTCACATGTTTTATTGTTCTGTGTAGGTCCAAGAGGAGATCCTGGATTTCCAGGTCCTGCTGGTGATATGGGGTCAGTTGGACCAATTGGTCCTACAGGCCTGCTAGGAAGACCAGGAGATGATGGAAGAAGTAAGAGAAGTAGGGGGCAGAGGCTGAACTATGTACCAGCAGGAAAGAACCCAAACAAAAGAAAAGTGTTCTTTGTTCATGCTTTACGCAATCACCAACAGTAAGGATTTGATCTCTACAGAGAGTTCAATATTAGCTCAGCACGTAGTGACCAAAAAAGGATATTAGAAATTTCTAGAAAAGGAACAGAAGACAAAGCAGGTTGCTCCCAAGCACTGTAAATCCGCAGTGTGCCTGTATCTGGAGTGCTATGCTCAAAAATTCCATTCTCCATCTCCAAAAACTATTAAGGAAGGTGATGAGGATCACTTTGCTCTGTATAAGTAACTAGAATAACTTGAATGTCAAGAAAACAGATAACAGGGAGGAGGAGAAGAAGCATTTGAAAGTCTCAAGTAGGAGCCTCTTTTCCTGGGAATCCTGGAAAAGATAATTTGTATTTAAGTCTTTGTTATATAGAAGCTCTTCTTTAGGACAGTTCTGAATGATCTGTCATTTCCTCCTCGATATCTCATAGGAATCATTACTGTGAAGCTGTATGGGCCATATACCTTTTTTTCCTAGGTCTGCCTGGCCTGCCAGGAGTGAGTGGGGCACCAGGACCTCAAGGTTTTCCAGGTGACCCTGGTTTCCCTGGAACAGGCGAATCAATCCCAGGAAGCCCTGGATTTCCTGGACCACCAGGCCTACCAGGACAGCCAGGAAGGCAAGGCTTACCTGGACTACCCAGTAGGTTCAACAGCAATATGGCAAGAATATAATTCTGTATACTAATAGATTAATTGCTTTGTTCAGTCCTTCAAAAAACAGAGGTGAAAAGTGCATTTTGACAGATACATAAAAATTTACATGTGATGCAGAAACTATGTTTTTCCTATTAGTTGTTGATCAATGAGATCTCGGGATTTTCATGGTTTTCCAGGTGATTTAAACTCACACAGTAACATATTTTAGGGATGTTTTTTCATGTATCACCTCAAGTTAAAAACACAGCAAGCTGGGGAGGAAACCCAAATCAGCATCCTTTAGTAAAGAAACAAAAGTCACAAAGTTCTATGGTCAAAAAAAGGAAGAAGTAGAGGCAATAAAAAACTAAATGAGTCATCACTAACTCTAGCCAGAGTAACTCCTGTAGTACTATCTATAAGCAACAACTTGGAAAGCATTTCATAAGATCTTTGGCTTTTCCTGCAAAGACAAGAAGATAAGGGTGTTGAGACTATGTGATTTAAGCTGTGGAAATGGCCAACCTGATTTATAAGCTGTACAATTTGTTTTTTCTAAGGTGTATTCTGTACTGACAGAGGTAGCCCTGGAGAACCTGGTGCAAAAGGTCAGATGGGCCTTCCAGGAAGAAAAGGTGAAAAAGGAGAAAAGGGTAAGTATGCCTGGAGAGCAACATTTTGAATATGAGACCTTTGCCATCTGCATCAGACCTGAACTTGCAAGAAGTTGATGGTAACTTGGAGGATGAGCCCCATCGATGGCCTGTTGGCACTGGGGCTTCTAAGTCAGTAGAGTCATGTCAGCACAACCATCGTTCATCACTGTAAAAAGAATCATCTGCTTTATGCCTTTGAAGGCCATAACAACATAAAATGTCTGTGCTACTCAGAAGAAATGCACTCTTTTTTTATTAATTTTGCAATTCTTTCAAATGTAATTTTGACCCATACTTGTAGGAAATCAAGGCCTCTGCTCATGTACTGCTGGTGCACCTGGTCCTCGTGGTATGCAAGGACCTCCAGGCACTCCAGGAAGGAAAGGACAAATGGGATACCCTGGAAGACACGGAGAAAAGGGTGACCCAGGCTCATCTGGTGCAGTGGGATCTCCAGGGGTCCCTGTGAGTAGTTTTCATGAGCTTCCGTAAATAAATAACATCAAGTTACTACTTACACAGGAGGTATTTAACCAGAGTGGTAGAGGAACTGCCATGGAAAATGATCTGGATATTTTATCTCCTTTTGCTTATTCCAGTCTAGTTGGAGGATATGTTCTATTACCATATATCTGATCTCCTTTGCAGCAGGGGCAAGGGCAGAATCCCACGTGGATTCTGTGTTTGTGGGGTGGTCAGGAGGCTTACAAAAGCTGGTGGATATTCATCTGTTTTTTCTTTTAGTTTTGAATACCCATTGTTTTTCTTGAAAACATTGTAGATGCACAGATTGCTCCACTGAAGCTGACTTTTCTGTTATTTCAAAGGAGAGCATTTCCAGCAAAGTCTGATCAAGGCAAAGGGTTGCATGGTGTCAGGATGTCAAGTTGGATTTTGTAACAACATCCATCTGGGGAGAAACAGCATGTGAAGGAAAAGTAACCCTTCATTTCATTCAGGCTTTTCAAGTCATTTTCTTAATACCTCTTTTAGAAATTAATTGTAAAGCTTAATTCATTTGATATGCTTAATTTGTAGGGCAGCATGGACACAACGTAGTCGTTCACTCCAGAGTCTGAAAGGCAGTGCTGTTTGTTAGTGTTCATCCCTTTACTGTTCCATATGAGTTTATCATTTCCCATTTTCAGCCACTACTCAGCCAAAGTTTGTTCTCTGCAATGATCAGCTACTATAGGAAATGCCTTGTCTCCCTATAGATTAGCAATGAAGCTGAAATAGAATACAGATTTTGGGTCAATAATTGACTTGGTGATGCTTGTTGCCTAACTCTGAAACTAGCAATTCCTTTTGGACACACTTATTTTCTTTTATGGGCTTCACATAGTTTACCTTATTCCCCACAGTGAGCAGTACCTCAAAACACCAACTAATCTAACTGCTTTAGGAGTAGGTTCTAAGATGATTTATTGGACTTGCTGTGATTTTATTCCACTTGTTCTGGTCTGGCATGCAGACTGTACATCCAGGATGCTGCATACCACAATGATTCGGACAGATAGAGGGTTTTAAAATATGCTTTCTTGTGTTTGAGGGCAATTCCTTGGGAAATACAGGTACACATGCTTGGCTTTGTGACTGTTCCATTACAGGTTGGTTGGTTTGTGGTTTGTGACTCTTTTGCTTTTCAAATGCTAGTAACTGGTCACAGCCAACTTGAAGATCTAGACCTTAACAAATAGCTGCTGCTAGTTTCAGATACACCACATTTTTCACAAGTCTCCTGCCTATTTTACAATTGTCATGATTTACAGTCACTTTATAGATTTTATTTTCTCCACCTATTTCTTTGTGAAAGATTTTGAATAGCAGAGGGAACTGGCTAAGTAATACCTCAGGTTTTCAACCCTAGCAGCCTTTTGCTTCTGTGTTTCACAAGGTAAAATGTATACACTCACCATGTACTCACCTTTCCTGGTGTATACACTCACCATGTACTCATCTCTCCTGGTGTAAGACCAGACCCCCACCATCAATGCTACGCAAACCACACTCTGCTTGGAGACCACAGATCAGCATACAAATATAGAAAGTACTTTTCCCCTCTAGATCTGTCAAACCATAGATTGTTCTGACCATACCAGGTACCTAACTAGACACAGATGAAATTTTTTATTGGCATTGTGGGCTTTAACTTAGCAAAAAAGCATCACTTACCTGCTGCTACCATGTGCCCATCTGGGAGGACAACCCCATCCTGTTACTCTTTCCTATGGTTGTGCCTCTGTGCATTTGGCAGAGCCAGGCTGCAAAAGGCTGGGGCCATACGCACACCTCCTCATAGACATCCAAAGGGAGAAGCATTGGTTTTGGGCAGGTTGCTCCAATTAGTCTGGTTTTGGGAAACAATGCAGGTGCAAGAGACAGAGACTGGTATTCCCCTCTCAATTCCCACACTGATTCCTTGGCTGGAGATAACTGACAATTTTTATTTTTTGTCAATGATAAGGGGGCACCTGGTTCTGCTGGACAACATGGTGAAAAAGGAGAGAAGGGTGATCCAGGAAGAGTTAGAATAAAAGGTAAACCCTTTAAATGATTAGCATTTTTGTTTCCTGTACAATGCCCAGGCAATAGTGTGAGAAAACCATATTCATCTACTTTTTAATGAAGTCACTAGTTCACTAAGTTACAGAAGAGGTCAAGTATATCCCAACTGTTTTCTTGGTATCATCTTGTTAATTTTCTTCTTGCTGAACAGAAGATCAACACAGTGTTTTGTGGTTTTTACTCTGTAGTTGCACACAAAACAGTTTTAGCAGCTTATTATTAATGCTAACAAATGAGTTTTCATGTCACAAGACTGTAAAGCAGAGTCTTACAGAGATCTGTCTAGCAAAGACTATGCAGAATACAGATCCTGGGAAAGCATGAAGAAATATTTTTTTTTACAGAAGCTCCCTCCTGAACTGTCATAAGCTAGTATCCCAGATGCTACCTCAGCTTGAACCACCAACATCCTTCTTGGGGAAAACTCAAAGTCTCAATGGCTCTTCAGATTCCTGCTCCTATTTCTAACAAGTACTCTTGACCAGGCACAGAAAAGAAACAACAGGCCACTGGTTGCATAGCTGAAGTTCCTGTAATTGCATTGAACCCTCTCCATGGTTATGGTTATGATTTGCAAAAACAGAAGAAGTAGAACAACAAATTACAGCAAGCCAATGGGAAAACTTGCTTAGAAATGCTGAACTAATTATTCAGACAAAAGACTGTCCATCTTACTCTTTCTGATGCCTGTGTTTATAGATGTTGGAACAGGACAAAACATTTGCTTATTTGCAAAGGATTACTTGACACAGCAAAATCAGTCTTTGGGTTAGAATAGTCTTACTGCCCTTTATGCAAAAATTACATTTTTATAAATATCAGTGCAAGAGAATCTAGGGGTAAAAAAAAAAGCTCTTGGAAATATTGACGCACATACTGTGAATCATATGAAGTTGCTATATCCTGATTTCAGAAAAATCAAGAATAAAACTAAATAGCAACATATTTTCACTCTGTATATAGCATGAACAAAAGCCACATTCTTGTGGTGCCTGTAAACACGCCTTTTACAGAAACCAAGTTGTTCCATGAGGTCTCCAACTACATACTGCCTTCCTAAAACTAAAATACTTCATATTAAGGAAACATGAATTCAAGAACTAGAAATTATCACAGAGATATGATGAATAGTTACCCAGTATTTACTGAGCACAAAAAACCAAACCAAACCAAAACAAAACCTTACTGCAAATATTATACTACTTTTTTTTTTTTTTTTTAATTGTTCTAAGGAATAAAAGGTGAAAGAGGTCCTACTGGGGTTCCAGGATTTCCAGGTCAAAGAGGTAATGATGGCAGAGACGGGGAACTAGGACTGCCGGGAGAAAAAGGAGCTGAGGTACATTTGCCATTCTTAGAATTTGTTTCCATTTGGGTTAACATATTGCCTTATGAAAGGGCTAGCAACTTGATGAAAAGTACCATTTTATTCCAAATTCCTAGCAGATTAATTGCTTTTATCATGTTAGCCTGGATCAAAAGTCATTGTTTTTATCAGTTGAAAGATTATTTCCTTGGAAGTATTACTGTTTATTTTTGTATTCCTGAACATAATTTTGGCATATACTCTGTGCCAATATTACTGGGTCAGAAAGAAAAAAACTGCATGAAACTCTACCCTTTGTTCCTATTGCCTTTGAACATTTAGAACTACCAATATCACCCGAGTAGTCATTTAATTACAGAATAGTGGTTTCTTCAGATAATGCTCTAACAAGGCTTCTGTTACACAGAGAGGAAAGAAAACAGGTCTTGTTATTTCTTAACAACAATTGCTTTCTTTTAGGGTGATTCTGGAGTATCACTGCCAGGTGATAAAGGATTCCCTGGGGTCCCAGGACTTCCTGGGGTAAAAGGGCAGATGGGACTGCCTGGTCTGGGGTTTCCAGGACCTCCAGGAGTCAGAGGTAGCCCTGGAGATGCTGGTGATAGTGGTAATGTTGGGCCACCTGGTCCAAAGGGCCAGAAAGGTAATTGTCAATGTTTACACTAAGGAAAAAAATAACAAAATACATGTTTGGTAGCATCCATTGCAGTTTCTTATTCATTATAAACAGTGTTGCTCATCTGTTCCTGGGTATAAGGATTTGCAAGGCAATCCTTTTTTACTGAAGGAGCAGGAAAATACAACTCGTACTTAAGGCTTCATCTTTGAGATGAAAACATTTTGTTCTTGCAACACACTATTGTAAATACAAGTTTCTGTGACAAGTAAAATAATCTTTGTCTTCACAGAATAACTATATTGCAACAATTTGAACCATTGACAGTGTTCTATGCAAAATAAGCATCAAGAAAAATATATTTTAAGATCCTCCATCAAACCTTAAGTAATATAGTAATAACGTGCATAAACAGTCCCTTCTCTTTACCTTTGCACATCCAGGTGGTTAGTTACACAGAAGTATTTCAGTAAATGTTCAGACTCCCCTTATTCTAAAATCCAACAGGCTGGTTTCTCTCTCCCTCTTGCTTCAGGTGAGACTGTCCGCATTACGTCACCATACCCTGGAAACCCAGGTCCCCCAGGTTTTAAAGGTGTTCAAGGTACATTCACAGATGGGAGAATTTTTGGGTATAATTTAAATGGAGTTTTAAGTTGCTAATTAAATAAAAGCCAACCTAAAAAGATACACTGTAGGTGTTTCAACAGATACAAAATTCCAAATGTAAAACTGCAAATACCCAGGAATACACTCAGCTACTAGAATCATGGGCCAGACAGCTGCTGTTTGTATGACCAAAAGGTGTTCAGGCTGCCTCCTGAGAAATGAGTAAATGAAGGTAGCTTGAAACTCTGTCCTGCCTCAGCTAAAATGCATGAGAGTCCGGGAACCTGCAGATGGCTGGAGTTGAATAAGACCTAGAATACATATACCTGTATACCAGGCAAAAAGGTGAGGCAAAGATATGCTGCAAGTCTGGCAATTTTAAAGCCATGTTGTTTATGGCAAGTTGCAATTGGTCCCTAAATTAATCACCATTGAAAGTAATTACCATTACAGGAACTTGTTCAACTTAATTTAAACTCAAAGAACTCATCCAGGAACTGGCAAAATATTGCTTCTGATCACCTCCAAGACACTGAAATATCCCAGGAGATCCTGATCAGAACACAGGGGAATACTGGATTTTCAAACTGCTTAGGATGGTCTTACACAGCTCCCTGACATCAGTATTTTGTCTGGTAGCTGGAATTTATACAGACATGAAAGAGCAGGGATTAGTGTATAGTCCTCATCAGCACCATTCCAGAAGCAGCATATAGCACAGGAGAACACAAGCATTTGAGCTGACACATATCATTCACTAGGTTAATATCACTGGTGTCCTGTAACATTAAAATGTTACAGGAGATTTTTTGTTCTTAATATACTGTGGTGATTTGCAGACTGCTGGCCATGAATTAGGGAAAAACTCCGTTTAGGAAAACAGCAGCCACACATGTGGTTGTGACTTGGGTGGTGGCTCTTGCCCAAAATGTTAGAAGCAGATGAAATCCACTTGTCTCAAAAGTACATGAATTTGCATGGGATAAAGATGCAGTACCATTTCTTCAAATCATATATTTCAGAGCTCTGTCAATTTTTGTTTGTTTCTTTTTTTTAAGATATTTTCTTTCTGTTTCCAGGACCAAAGGGTTTAAAAGGTCTCCCTGGTCGTCCTGGGCCAAATGGCTTTGATGGGCAAAAAGGCCATCGAGGCAGACCAGGAGCAGGAATCCCTGGGCCAGAAGGTGAATTGTGCTTTTCTTAACCCAGGAGACCTGGTCAGTCGTGCATGCAGGGTGAGGTAGCCACCATGGTCAACTAGAATAGGAAACACATTTCAACAAAGGCTACTGGAAGAGGAATCTCTACCACTTTCCCTTCTTTCCTCCAGCATTGCAGGTGTTGCAGTAAGCTAAAGTTCAGTGCCCAGAGAGGAAATACTCTCAGAAAAATTAGGATCATTTTATCAAAGAGATTCAACTGGACAAGAGTAACAGTACACAAGACTGATGATGCCCCAAAGAAAACCACTGTCACTTCCCACAGGAATAATTACTTCCTTCAATAATTACCACCCTCACATATCATTAGCTGTAAATAAGAGACCTGAAATTCATGATGTTATTTTTCTGTGCAAAGTGATAGTGTAATTCTGGTTAAATTTGCGTTATAATATTCCACAGTTTTGAAAAAACAAACAAACAAACAAACAAAAAACTTCTGAATTATGCCCTGTTTGATTTTTAAAATCCCATCAACAGGGTTTCGAGGTGAAGCTGGTGATCCTGGTGATGAAGGTGAAAGAGGATCTACAGTTGATGGTAAACATGGCCCTCCAGGTCCACCTGGCAGAGATGGTCAGAAGGGTGTTCCGGGTGATACCACATATGGTCCTCCAGGAATCCCAGGCAACAGGGGACTGCCAGGACCCCCTGGTGCACAGGGAGCAAGGGGTGATCCAGAAGGTAAGGGCTAGTTTTTGTAAAGCATTTCTGTGTGTTCAAAGGAGAGAAGCTGAGCAGTCAGTCCTGACTCAGATAAAACTCACTCCTACCTGGACTCTTACTAGTGACTGTGAACGGTATGCCCTACTCGTACATCTTCACAGTTGAGACTGATCAGGCACTGAGGAGATCTGCCCTGCAGGGAGGGGAAGATGAGTCTCCCTAGTCCATGGAGTAACAGAGCAGCTTCCTATTCTTACTGCTGTTACTTGCTGCCTAGTGGTCACCTAGGCTTAGGGTCTCTTGCCCTGCCACACAAAGTCCCTGCTTCAGATGGCTCACTCAAATCTGAGAAGACTGGTAAAAGCTGGGAGAACATTCAGGAAGAGAGGGTGAATTTCTTTGACAGAGTTGCACAATATAATCCTCAATCTCTTGGGCACCATGCTCCTCCTTTCTGCAGGGGAGTTGTGCTGGTTGCTGCAGATGTTTCCACAGTGCCGGTTCCTTCCCAGTTCACAGCAGATGTTGCTGTCTCTGGCCCTAAGCAGACACTCACACACTTCTGTGAGGGAACACCTATAGAACTGCCCCGGTGCTGTGTAGCTGGTGCAGGCCAGTGACCTCCTGCCATTCTGCTCCCACTCATCAGAACTAGCCATAAAGTCATCCTCACCATTGGGCAGGAGTGGAATTTGTGTTTGTTCCTTGAAGAAGCTCTCCACAACAGCCAATTCTAAATTGCAAGAAAGCATCAGTTTTCACAAACTATGCAAAAACCAGAAGATAAGTAAGATACTACAATAACTGAGCATCTAAATTTCAAAACTACAATTAGAAATTCTGAGGGATGGCAAATATTGGAAGTACACCACTTTACAATGCTTTCTGTTTCCAGGACAGCCTGGTACCCCAGGATTTCCAGGTGCCAAAGGTTTTAGAGGCCCAGAAGGTGATATAGGAGCACCAGGCTGCCCAGGCTTCCCTGGTCCATCATGTGACACAGGATTACCAGGGCCACCAGGACTCAGAGGTGCCACAGGCCTGCCAGGACCTCAAGGTACACAACATCCATCAGGTTGCCTCATAGCTCTAAGCTTTGAGCATCTTCTTTTAGAGGATTTAAGTACATGATTTTTGTGGCTCACCATAGGGGCTGCTCGTTAGTGGAGGGTACATTAAGTTTTGCATGTTGCCTTAAACTCAAGGAATGTGTAGTGTGCATCTCAGGTCTTCCCTTCTCGTGCTGTCCCTTAAGTGGCCACATCACAGTGTGTTCACTGTTGAGTAATAAACAGAAGAGTTCTCTCTTATGCTATTGCCTTGAGTAACTTAACTGAGCTCCTGTCATCACTGTGACACTTATCTTCCCTATTCTTGAAGTGTTGTTTAAGGAGAGATGGGTGACGTATATCTCAAAGAAACCCTACAAATTAGTAGGGATTTTTATAGGGCACTTCTACCTAGACAGAACCAGGACTTCAGCATGGTAGCAAGGTTTCCAGATTATTTTGGCATGTTTGAGGATATTCAAATTTATACCAAATCTGTGACTTTCTACTTTTTAAAACCAATTGCTGAACCCTTTTCCTGCATTTATATACATAGATTAAAGCTCTTTTTTTCAGGCTTACCAGGCTTTAAAGGTCAGAGAGGAGACAGAGGTCTAGCTGGGCCACCTGGAATCAAGGGTCTCAAAGGCTTTCCTGGCTCAGAAGGTCCTCCAGGTATTCCAGGCTCCCGTGGACTTCCAGGACTTCCAGGCAATAAAGGACCACCTGGTTTCCCAGGACAAATGGGTATGTTAAACATCCTGCAATCCACCTCACCTCTAACTTCTCTTGCTAAGGGAGTGGTTTCTACTGCTGTTAAAGCTCCAACTGCTTAACACCCTCCTCCCTTTCCAACTCTAAGATCCTGAACCACAATGGGGGCAGGAACAATAGAATTATAGAATCACAGACTGTTTTGGGTTGGAAGGGACCTTTAGAGGTCCTCTAGTCCAACCCCCCAGCAGGGAGCAGGGACATCTGCAACTAGAGCAGGTTGCTCAGAGCCCCGGCCAACCTCACCTGGAATGGTTCCAGGGATGGGGCATCGACCACCTCTCTGCCAGGGTCTCATCACCCTCAGCATAAAGAAATTTCTTCTTTCTCTCTTGTCTAAATTTCCCCTCTTTTAGTTGAAAACCATCAGCCCTTGTCCTATTCACTACAGACCCTGATAAAATCATCTGTCCCTATTTTTCTGACAAGTACTGAAAGGTTTCAGTAACGTCTCCCTAGAGACTTATCCATGCTGAACAACCCCAACTCTCTCAGCCTGGCCTCACAGGAGAGGTGTTCCAGCTCTCAGATAATTTTTATAGTCTTCCTTTGGACTCTGCTTTTTGCTTTTTACTCTTCCTTAGAATTTGACAGCAACAGCATAGCAGACTGAATATGTAAATAAAGCACTTAATGTTACCAGGAAGCAAAGGGATTCCAGGACCTCAAGGATTCCCAGGTCTCCCAGGAATACAAGGCCCAATGGGAATCTCTGGTGTAAAAGGTGAAGAAGGAACCATGGGTCCACCTGGGCCTAGTGGAGAATGTGGAGACATAGGAATAAAAGGTTTGTAAAACTGCACTTCACTCTGTAGCTGTGTTACTGCTATGTTTAGTTTTGTTACTGCTGCCTTAGGAATACATTATTCTTTTTTTAAGGATATATTTTCTTCTGTTTTCAGAGACATTAAATGCTAAACCTAGTTATCTGACAAATGCATAATAAAAAAAGTCAAGAAAAATTTAATTCCACTCAGATCAATAGGTACAATAGTGGTAACACTAAACCAAACAGTGTAAGACCACTTATTCAAACAAATGTCAAATTTTGCCCTGTACCCATCTGAAAATTTAGGTTTTTCAAGTTTTTTATCATTTTGCCTGTGTAAAACATACAGGAAATAATCTCTCTAAAACTAACATAGGAAAGACAATAGCCATCTCCAGGGTGCCATCTCCAGCAGTACACTGTGGAGTGGACAAACAGGGAATCATTCTGATTTAATGTTACCTGGCTTACTACTGAATTAACTAAAAAGCAGGAGAAGGATAGTAAATTCCATTAGCAGTGATCCTGCTGGAACAACTGAGAACTGCATTAGTATTTGAAGGCTTTCTCTGCTAGAGAAGTCTTCACTAAGATTAATTTTCAGAACATGTCACTCATGAGGATTGACTTCTCTTCCTTATGTTTGGTTCCAAGGTGAAAGAGGGCCTCCAGGAGACAGTGGCTCCATCAACATCCGTCTTGAGAAAGGGCAAAAGGGGGAACCAGGGGTTCCTGGTGAGGATGGATTTAGAGGTGAAAGAGGTAAGTGCATAAAATAAAGCCCTGCATACACACATATTCATCTGATGACATCACTGGTGCTTTTCACAGGTGTGCACTTGTAGCTGCAGTAACATCCAGCAGCCTCCCTGTGTTTATAGATCTGAAAGTAGCAGGCGAGGTTCTTTGGAGTACGCAAGGTGTGAAAATGTAGCTGTGTACCAAAGAAGTGTCAAATTGTGGCTTGACTGTTTTGGTCATTATCTTCTGCAATTACCTTCAGGTGAAAGAGGTAGTACTGGTTTCAGAGGCACGCCAGGATTTCCAGGAAAGAATGGTGTCCCAGGACTGCCAGGTGATCATGGTGACACTGGACTGATTGGGTTTCCCGGATCACGGGGTTTTCCAGGACCAAAGGGCTTTAAAGGAATTGCAGGTTTTCAAGGAGAACCAGGTGACCAGGTAAGCAAAGTGGAAGTGAAACGTCCTGGACTTTACAGTTATCTCCTGCCTCCAAGGAATATGATGAAGGGAACTTCTGCCATACTTACCCACTAGTTGTTCCTCCTGAGCAGAGACTGTCAGTATCATAGGAAAGGCAGATTCCTTAATGCAACTCTTCAATGCTTTGATGGCATTTTAGCAGGAACTGTAGTCAGACTCCACAGACAGCCTCTCCCCTCTCTCCTAGCTGCATGTTGTGAGTTTGTTAATGTTTCCACTTGGTGGAAGTCCAGGCAACACTGCACTAACGGGGGGGAGTGGGATGGAAAGGGATGCACAATCAAGTCTTAAACTTTATTCCTAAGAACACACTGAGAAATGCCTTACTACAGAGTTTGTAACATAGCAGCAGCACAAGTACAAAATAAATATTAGCTGCTTCTTCATATGTGCTCTATGGAACAGCAAAGCCAAGAGACAAGGCAAGTCATGTCTTCTGTGTGCATACCAACCGCTGACACCAAACAGAGCCTTGGCAAGCAACACTGCTCAGGAAGACATGCACAAAACTGCACATATGTCACTCCTGGCTACACAGTAAAATTCTGCACCTGGCTTGGGTGCTAGGTACACAGGCAGTGAGATTACAGGAAGCATAAAGCACAGGGTTTTTTTTTGGTAAAGGGACATATCTTTGCTTGGCTTCCCTTATATTACATTTCTTTAAAGAGATAATCTATGTTTTGTGATTATAGGTAATGATCGAAAAGAAAAAACAGAAATCTTGACATTTTTACTGTTACATCAAAACATATTTCTCTTTAATATTTATAGTAAATTTTCAGTAGCATACTACATTACTTGGTACATTTTTATAGTACCTTTTAAATCACTCAAGCCATCTCTGGGGAATTTAAGCCATTCAAGCCAAAAGCACAAATTCCAAATGATAAGCAAGTCTCATCTACAGTTTCTTGGAAGCTTTTTTGGTAAGTGTTAGACATGAAACCAAGACAACAAGCTTTGCTTTTCTGGTGAGATTAGGTACAGTTTTGCTGTTCATATCAGTTGCTGGTCTGTTTATCAGTGTAAGGGAACCAAATGCTTTTATAGATCATTCCTCCTACACATGTATGTCAAACTCTTTGTTTCTTTGTTTCTTTGTTGTTTTGTTTTTGTTTTTTGTTTTTTTTAAAAAAAATCAGGGTGATGTTGGCTTACCAGGAATCACTGGAAATCCAGGACTGACTGGCCCAAAGGGATCTAAAGGTAATGAGTTTATATAGACATGTTTTTGAAAAACAGCACTATCCTTACTATGTAAAAGCTCTGATAGATGGCAAGTGCTCACTGGAAAAAGGAAAACAGGACAGAAGTGAAAATAATTAAAACATGGATGTCATTAGAAACAAGACTGACTGACTTGAAGGCAAAATTTGCATTTCAGTATATTCTTTAAGAGTTTGTTCCTTTTAAAGTAGGTCTTACTAATTTAGAAAATAAATTGGTGTCAAATAGTTTAAAGATTCCATGAAAAAAGTAAAAACCCATTCTTATGGATCTGTAAGATCTGACAAATCAGAGAAAATGCAGTCATTTAAGGTACTGTGGTATGGTATTATACAAATAATATAGATATTTTAAATACTACAGCATAATTTATTATTTCTCCTATATCACTCATTTTCAAGGATTTCCAGGCTACAATTTTTTACTTCTTGAACTGCTGAAAGTGTAGTGTAATAAATACTACAGAGTTCCTACCTGTCCATGCAAAGGTATTCAGTTGAAAAGGTACTGTTTTTTTGCATAGGCAGAGATTACTCTGAAAATTTATCTATCATCTTTATTTTTTAAGAAGTGTTTCAAACAAATACAAAATGGTGCTGTCCATCATATTCCAAATTTCCTCAGAGTAGGATTTCATTACTAATAAATAACAGAATTAAATTCCTGCCTGGGGAAAAAAAAAAAAAAAAAAAAAAAAAAATTAAGGGAACAACATACACCCTTTTCTTAGTTACATTTTCCATTTCTTAAAAAAATCAAGAAGTTATCCTTTCAACTAATGCAGGAAATGGCCTATAAGGGTGGGGATTGCTATGGCAGGGTAAATCCAACGACACTTGAACTTGATATTTCCTCTTAACTCTTCACAGCAGACAGGAAGCTGGAGACAGTGTGAATAGGTAGGAGAGATCAGACATTTGGACAATGTCAGGGAAAATTGCTCAGAATTATTGATTCTGTGATGAGCAGGAATTTCAGCACAGACAGAAGGATAAAGGTGTGCTGGCTTTAAGGCGAGTCCCTACGAGGTCTTGACTCTGTACATGGACTCATGCTGTGTTGGTTTTGCACATCGTCCCAAACCTATGTAAGGAGTTCTCTTTGGTTAATAAAGTGCTATACAGAATGTATGCGGTATCTTTAACTTTTAGTATATGATGTCAATATTGGGAAAGTTCCCATAATCTGGGGATTTTTTTTCGTTTGTTCTTGTTTTGTTTTTGTCATTATGGGCAGCGTGCATGAATCCTGCCAGGAGTCATGCTAGACACCAAGCTGAGCTGGCAGATAATTTGCACGTGCCAAAGCATTTTTCATTCTGTGTTGTTTCGGTTCCTTGTATAGCTGTTAATATCTATGAATAAATTATCTGATCTTACAAAATACTCCACCTTTGGTTTTGTGAATGAAAAGAGTACTTGTGTGAAATGAAAGTCATTGTACCTCAACAGGCAAGAGAGGTGACCCAACTCATCTGCCTGGTGCACACGGTCGAAAAGGGCCTCCTGGGGATCCAGGATTACCAGGTACCTCTGTCTGAGTGAAGAAAAAATTAGACTTTAGAACTTATTTTCTCTAAGGAGAGGGAGCTCTGTTTCCTTTGTGTGTATGTTCTGTAGCTGTAAACCCAGGGCTTAGAGAGGTATCCCCATGTGCAGCAGGACTGGCAGGAACACAGGAGGCAGAGTCTCCTGTGGTCTAGTACAGCACTGATGAGTGTACCAATACTGACCAGAACAAAACCTGGCTTGGCCACATCTCACTAGTGATTTCTGCTCTTTCAGCTGTCACTAGAGAGATCAGTATAATTCATTGCTCACAAAGAGATGCAAGGAGCCTTCAGTATTTAAATAAAACTGTTTTTCTGGTCAAGAAACCCTGTACTGAACTTCTATATTTTTAAACCTGCCATGAGATGAAGCATGGGCAACTTTAAATGGAACATAAACGAACATGCTAGATTATTTCTTTTTCTTTAAGGACCCTGTGGATTCCCAGGAGAGAAGGGTTCACCAGGTATCCAAGGGCAACCTGGAAGACCAGGATCCAAGGGTGACCCTGGATACCCAGGAACACCTGGATTCCCAGGTAATTCCAGAGTTTAAAAAATATTGCAGAGTAACAGCGCAAAAGATGAAAATACAGCTGAGGAGGCACCTCTTGAGGAGGAGGCCAGAGAAATGAGAGACCATATGAAGGTGTGTATCAAAAGCTGTTTAAATACCTATTGACAGCAGCAAAAGTGTGCTCAGAGTCTCACAGGCAGCAAGATCTGTCAGTTCTTCACACATTACTACACACTTTCAGGTACCTCTGGATCAACACACTGTGCTGCATAGCATTAAAAAAAAGCAAACCCAAAACATCCACAATTTAATAGGTTTGCATATTCACAGAATATTTTTTTCTTTCCCCCACACCCAGGAGCCACAGGTGCTCAGGGATTGCCAGGAGAACCTGGAGAAAAAGGAAGACATGGGATTTTGGGACCTCCAGGATTACAAGGACTAACTGGATCCCAAGGCAGGAAAGGCAAGCAGAGCACTTCTACAGCTAATGCAATAGCACCATACTATTTATAAATACCCTTTTAGTGGTGAAAATGAAAAAGGCCTAACCATGAGTGTTACTCTGATTGTGTTCTCTTCAACTACTAGAAGAATTAAGCCTGTTCCCATCACCTTTGAAAAGTAACATAAATGCTGCCTTATAAAATAGGGCTACCATCTAAAATGAGCAAGGAAGAAGGCAGAGACGGTTTCCGGCTCAGCTGGAGTAGCTGTCAGGAGAGGCGAAGGAAGAGTTTGCAGTACTTGTGCAGCTTCCCTCGGGTGCCGCTGTGTTCTGCCTGCGCACCACGGGGTGCCGCTGCTGCCCTGCAGAACCAGCCCACTGCTGCAGCCAGCGCTGGCCTACACGCTCCTGTTAACCAGCTGTGATAACTTGGGTCGGCTTTTGTTGTTGTTTTGTTTTCTCCCAGACGTGATTCTTGGTGGATTTAGTGTAGAACCGTTTCCTCCAAATCCTCATTTACACTTCTCACAATGATTGTTATGTTTGGATTCAACAGCAGTTCATCTATACAGTTGTTTTCACTGGAGAGCATTAACTTCTACTCTGCTCAGAATGATATGTTGAAATTATAAGTTAAGTTAATACTTCATAGTTAGGATTAGGATCTTACCTATTGCCTGTGTGGTTGAAAAGAAGGTTAACACCTTAGAAATTATAGCCAGCAATGAAAACTGAACCAGATTTGTATTCCAGTCCAACTGGAGAATGTAGATCTTAACACTATTGTCAGTAAGTGTTGTTGCCAGCGTTAGAAGTTACATGGTTAATTAACTGTTCATCACTTTGCACACAGCCTCATTAGTCCTATCACTTCTCATTTACATTACATGTCTTGTGCCTGAAGAATTTTTATATTAAAAGAATTAGTTAAAAAGCATCTATCTAAGCATAATCACATTTCCTTTATTACAGAGATAGTTTTACTAGTTCAGGGCTTAGTCTGGCAAGCCTTAGTTGCGTGAGTAATCCTTGATGAAGCAAATATTGAGACCATCAGCAGAATTACTTGTGTGAGTAGAAGCCGAATTGGGCTGTAAAATACAGAAACGGTGGTTCATATGTAGGTCAGCCAACTCAGCCATACCTAGAAATATGGGACTAGAGCAATCCAAAACGCCAGAATTACAAGTGCTGATATTATAATGGATTGCTGGCAAATGTGTCAGAAATTCCCTGGAAAGCAAGTAAACTAAGCCATCAATCTTCACCGAATAAGCTGAAGATCAACAAAGTTTTAAATTGTGATCTCAGTGCCAAAAATAGTTAGGAGTTCATAATCATTTTAAAATACCTCTGTTAAATTCCCCAAATTGGCATGCAGCTCTTACATATAAGGTGAAAATGGGAATGTGCCCAATGTACAAGCAGGCTACGGAAAGTAGGACTGAAACTTAGAGTGTTAAGAAAAGTTAAAGAGCAGTTACTTAAGGGCACAGAAGATATTACAGGTTGGACTACTAGTATCCTGTATTGTAAAGGGGATTACACAGAGTATACTATCAGTGTCTTGCAGGTTTCAAAAAAATATTCCGAATTTAAAATTTCTCCAAGCCATTGTTTGCTACAGGCTGGGTTATTTTCTTTTCATTCCTTTGCTAAATTTAAAAATAATTCAACAGTTTCTGAGAAAAAAGCTATGGGATTATTATTTTTGGTGTGTCTGTTAGAGAACTCTAGTGCCCCCAATTTTTTCCTGCCAAATCTGACCAGCTTCTAACCTTAAAAAAAAAAATATCTCCATTCATCCATGTTTATGTAGAGCAATGAACTGTCCCGTGATTCATGCCCTGCAGGTACAGCAGATCTGCGTGCTGGAGGACATGCTGGGATCAAGCACAGGCACTGAAACAGAACTAACATCATCTGTGCCAGGAAGCAGCTAGACAGGGAAAAGGAGACAGAAAGATAATTCAGACTGGTGGAATAAAACCACTGCAACTGGACAGGGAATCCTGCATAGCAGGGAGAGGAAGTGCTGGGGAAGGCAATGGGGCAGAGACAAGCAGCAAAAGTGGCAGAGGGACAGGAATAGGCACTGACAGTACAATTTACCTTCTCAATGACCCATGTCCACTCTGATCTGTCCCTCTCTGGAGCAAGAAGTATCCCAAGTCTATTCCTCAGTCTGAAAGCTCTTTGGAACCAGCTTTGCAGAGCCTGTTGCTATCAGCAGGTGACAGGCTCCCATCTGCCTTTCACAGGGGTACGTCTTTGCCCCCGATACCTCACCCACACCAGTTCAGGAACTGTGGGGTGCTAATGACAAAGAGATATTTTTCCCGTCCACTGCACAAAAAGCACAGTCTCAGACTAGTTCAACTTTAAAAAAAAAAAAAAAGGACAAAAGATTGCCATCTATGCTTTTACTTACTGTGTTTTAGCAGTCAGCAAAAAAGTACAGATTAGAAAGCAAAAGTTCTGACTACCATAAACACTCAGCCTGGGATCTAGTCACCAACTGAACATGAATAGTGACAAAGCTGCTCTATACCATCACATGCCAGCACGGGTCTCACCTACAGATTCATTGTCTTCAAAGACTTTTGATGTTCAGTTCAAATAATTTTTGCCACAGTGCAATGCAAAAAAAGCAGATTTTGTGTGAAATCTGCAGGGCCAGGGAGAAGAAGTCAGGTGAAAATTTAGCTCCTTTCTAGTGCAGCTAGATTAAATTACACTTACATTTGGAACAGAAGCCATGAAGAAGTGGCAGACCCTACTTAAAATGTAAAGCTGTATCTCAGCCACCTGGTCACAAAGCAATAACACCACTAACTTCAGACTAGTTTATCTCAGGTAGCAGTAGTAGTCTGGCCACAGACTATATAGAGAGTTCACTGTAGAGTAAATTAGTCCCATACTGAGCTTCCTGCTACTAGCTGCAGTATAGGAATACCTGAAGGATTAAAAGCTATGTTTTCTGATTGCTTTGATGGGAAATTGCATTATGGTTGCTCTTTTCAGATTTTTCACATCTTCCTTTTCTGAAGTCTGCACTCAGGGGCAATGTGATCTCCTTTTCAGTTGCCAGTAAGAATCAAACTCAGCAAATACCCTGCCTTGAGCCAGAAGATGTTATCAGGGGGAAAAAAAAAAGCATAATTGTTAATTGTGACTTTAGAGGATTATTGTGGCACTCACTCATACCTGTAATACCTCTCAGGTCTTCCTGGACTGCCTGGACTGGATGGCTTGGACGGACTCAAAGGTCAAAAAGGTTCTGCAGGAGCTCCAGGTGAAGGAGGGAAATAGCTACATGTAACAGAAAATCTCTTAAATCACTGAATGTGCAGGGATTGAAGCACCTTGGTTTGGCATTTGCCTTGCCCAGAAGATGCTGTTAAGGCCCAGACTGAATTTTCAGACCAAATCTACAGTGTGCCTAATGACATACCTGCAGTTATTTGTGGGGAAAACTTTAAAACTTCCATTACTCACAGTTTTGTTGGAACCTTTCAAGGCTGTTTATGAAACAAAAATGTTCAGTGCAGATGATGCAAAGGAGAGCCAAGTTTCCAGGTTTTTTTTTTTTATATGTAAAAGATAAAACTAACAAATTAATGGGAGACTTAGGAAATCCCAACCTCACTAAGGTCCATGGGAGTTGTGCCACAAACTTAGAGAAACCTGGATTTTGCTCACACTGATCTGTTTGCAACTTTCAAAAGGTGCTTTTGAAGCAGTATTAAAAAACAGTGCTTACCCTCTAACTAGAGATTACATATGTATGCTGATAGAAAATTAAGATCATGGCCATGCAATCTGTTTACATTTCTAGTTTTAGACAATAATGACACCGCATAGAATAACCCCTGAAAGGGAACATTAAAGCAGAGATTACTTTCAGTGAAAGAGATGAATTAGGGCCAGATTCAACAACACTCTATCCAGCTTCCAAGAGAGAACCAGAGAAATAGCACTAGGCGACCCTTGCAAGGAGGAACATCTGCAGCTGGTATTTCCATTCTGCACATCTGTATTTGTACTCACTGTAAGCTTTATGTACATAATTGTTTTCATATAAAGGTCAAAGTGAAACAGGGCCCCCAGGATACTCAGGAGAACTTGGACCAAAAGGAGACAGAGGTGAACCTGGATGGCCTGGTATTTCTATCCCAGGCTCCCCTGGAGAACAGGGATTCCCAGGATTCCCAGGTGAGAAGGGGTTTTTTTATCCTTAATGATGCCCTGCAGAGTTGAAATGAAACTCATACAGGCTCTTCCCCTGGTTAGTAGGAACATGAATGTATACTTAAAGATTCCCTCCCTACCAACATTTCTGTCACAGGAACATGCTGATGCTTCCCAAGTAGACACAGAGACCCCAGCATTTCTTGTTTATTATATTACAGGAGAGGAAAGAAGGAGACTAGAGAAGGAGGGACTTGGACAGACTCGGGGAACTCGCCCTGTCCCAAGCATAAGGATATCATAGTCCCCACTCATCTTACCTTTTTACCATTTCTTCTCTTGTTAGAATTCAGGAGGCTCTTTGTGGCCATAAGCCAGTGTGTGATGATGCATTCTTTCATTTAAGTAGATTTTATAGAAAGAATTCAAAAATTTTTACAAGATAACATTTTCACTTTTACAAGATGTCTTCACTAGCCTAATCACTGGCATGTTCAGTGTAGAAACAAGAACAAACATTACCTCCACAACATCACATGTCAGCATTCTTCTAGTTAGTAACTAATTTCTGTAATCTAAAAGAACCTTTTTTTGGTAAAATGTCATCTCTTAGGTAGAAGAGGACCTGTTGGACCCACTGGACCTATGGGAAGATGTCCTGATAGTGCTTCTCCTGGTCCTCCAGGTGACCAGGGACCACCTGGTTTAGATGGCATCAGAGGTATTACAACCAAAATAACAGATTTAATCATGTAAAAGCACCTGGGGCTACTGTGAGTCACTGAGTGGCTGTCTGTGGAGCAACATGTAATACTGCAGAGGGAACAAAGAAATCAGTCAATACCACAGTGAATATGCAGAGAAGTGATCACTAGTTAGATCACCAGAGCAAGGATAAAACACAGATGTACAGATTCAGTTTTCTGGCCTCTATGACAATTCTGTGCAAGTCCTGCAAAATCCAGCCCTGGGAAAACTACAGCTGGCAATTCCTGTTCTGCAGACCCTGCTTCTGTTACCAGCAGGGGTTGCCAAGGGTTCTAGTCAACTCCTGTAGACTGTAGTCCTCAAATGGAAGTCTTCCAAGTTGTTCTGATGCCTTACAACAAGTATCATCTGAACCCTTCCTTACTTCCTACTGGGAAACAGGGGATGGAGACTGGAAGGGCAGGCAATGCTGTAGTAAATAGAGAGGAACAGCTTCTCATGCATCCAGCAGTAACTCACCACCTTTTGCATGCACAGAATCCATAGTTTTGGGAGCTGTAATTGAATTCCTCACAATGCCTTGGGCAAAGGCTAATGCTAGTATCTCTAGAAACACAAGTCCCAAAGAAAGAAAAACCAAAGCAAAACACCCCAATGGAAGATGGCTATTTTTAGATGTTTATGCTTTGTGCACTTGTTAAGAATTAAGTTCTTTCACCATAGGTCATCCTGGGAATCCAGGTCCTCCTGGAGAGACCATCTTTGTGAGAGGAGACCCAGGTGATAGCGGTTTTCGAGGAGCACCAGGTAACCCTGGGCAGCGAGGGCAACAAGGAGCTAGAGGTCTTCCAGGGAACCAAGGAAGAGGAGGCCCAAAGGGTATGATCTGAGACATTTTTAGCTAACTTAAGCCCAGCCCTGGGCAACCTGAGCCTCACGCACAGGGGATTGCCATTGGTGACTGAGCCATACAAGGGGTGGGGTGGGCTGGACATCTCACAGACCTGCCCTCTTACCTACCAGTCAAGACAGGGCTGGAGTAGAAGGTCGGAGCAGAGCCAGATTCATACATACTGCTTCCAACAGGTTGCTGGAAGCCTACCCTACCAACTAGAGCATGAGGCAGTACATCTTTCCACTCTGCCAGATAAAGCAAACCTTGACCTCTCTGCAGTGCTTTTGAGAAACTACAGAAGAGGCAGATAAGTTTGAACTAACACAGTCTCACACCTGCCCCATATCAACAGCTCTGAGCTTCCAGCATATTCCTTAGTTTGAAATCAGATATCTAGATACTCTGCTTCTTCCAAACACTGTAGAGAAGTCGTGTCTACACCGATCCCTTCCAATCTCTACAAAAAGAAAAGTAAAAAATTTTAGTTCAGTTCAAGACCTGGAAGAGAAAAAGAAAATGTGTTTTTCCTTCTGGGAGATGACAGAGTTGAGTTTTGCCAAGCATTTTTTGTTATTCTAGCAGCTAGACTTCATCTTATTTGTCTGTTCACCATCTCGGAATGCAACCACATGGAACTGCACAACTGTTTTGTTTCCAGGTCCTATGGGAATCCATGGCCCACAGGGTCCACCTGGTGCTGTAGGACAACCAGGAGATCAAGGTTTTCCAGGAAAACCTGGTCCCAGAGGTCCCACAGGTACTTATGAAGCTGTTGCTCATTGTCACTCAATTGTTACCATGATCTTTCTGTTCATATACAACTGTACTAACATCTACTTGCATACAAACGATTTAAACAATCTGAGAAAAATCAACCAACCACCTAATTGATTTCTCATGAGTTGTGTAAGAATTTCTGAACTGTGTATTTGTTTCTGATGTTACCTCACATACGTGATTTCAGTTCTCATTCCCTTCTTTACTCCAATTTACATGCCTGACACTTGTTTCCACCTGCACCACAATGGCCACGATCTGCTTTCCGTTTTCCAAATCCTTCAGGTTTCACAGGTAAGTTCATGACTACTAATGGTTGTTTTCATGTGGGCTTCCTTCTGTATAGATACATTCCACTCCTATGGCAAGGGGTTCTTGGCTCAGCTGCTAGGACAGTAGATGCTGCTGCAAGAACATGGTGCTAAGGTTGTTCACTGCCAAGCAGACCGATACCACGATAATGCTGCACTGGGAAGTCCCACACTGTCATGTCAATTCCACTTGTAAAACAACTTGTTTCAATTTAACATTTTGTTGTTTAGTTGCCACAAGATTCTTTCTAACCAAAAACTCAGCAAGACCTTGAATCCTAACACTGGATTACTACAAACACTGAACTCTTAATCTGACTAAATCACTCCGATTCTGATCTTCTTCCAAAATGCAAGTAGCCAATAGCTTTCAGTAACTTTCAATACATAAAAGATGGCCATTCTTTATTTGTTATTATTACAGTTATTTTAAATGGATGCTGTGTGTTAGCTTCTTTGGCTTCCCTATTGACGGGTTTGCAGCCTTGGGGGACGAAGTGCTGCAAACCTTCACACATGCCAGGGTGTTTGTGTTGAAGTTGGGTAGACTTTAGGATTGAACTCAAATCAGTTTGGAGCACGTTAAGACAAACTATACACCAAATATTTGAAACCTATCAGCTAGCATACACCTGCTCACACCTGCTGTAAATGCTGTGCTGAAAGACTGTAAGTAACATTAAAAGCAGTGAGACCCAGTAATTTAAGATTTTAAAATACTTAAAGTGCACACATGTACAGTAAAACCAGCTCACAGCCATGTTGATTTTTCACTTGGGACTTATTGACCAATGTTCTGTCTAATTTACTTTCCTATTACCCATCCCAGGTGACCCTGGTGAACCAGGAAAAACAGATGATACCTGCCCTACAATCCCAGGGCCTCCTGGGGAAGCAGGCCAAAGGGGAGATGATGGTTCTGTAGGATTGCCAGGGCCAATAGGCCACCCTGGACCCCAAGGTAAACATGTTCCAAAGACATGGATGTCTGTTTTAGCCATTTAGACAACAAATTAGAAAGGGTCAGAGTGTCCATTTTACTGCTTTATGTTTCACCCTGTCTGTTCCCCTTGAACACTTACTAACTGTCTCCAGAAACACGTGGTGGGCTGGTTCACGCTGAGGATGAGGATCAGTCCAGCTGAACCAGGCTGCCTGAGCCTGCCTGCCCTACCTTCCCCTTCCCTAAGCCAGGGAGGGCAACAGCATAGGGCACTGCTGAGAAAAGAGCTCTTCAAATGGTATTTTTACAAACAAATGAAAAGCAATGCCTCAAACCACTCCTGTGGTTTGGACAGGTTATATTTGGTCAATGTTAAAAAAATATATATGCTTTAAAATTTAGGGAAATCACGAAGCTCTGCTAACCAAAGTCCTAAAAGGACACTGAATTCAGAGAAGTGGCTACAATAGCACTTTTTATCTGTTAGAACATGAAAAAGTTACTGCAAAAGACAACTGACCAAAGAGTTTTTATAAAAAAACGATGAAAGACTGAAACATTCTTCTGAGAGATAAAAAGAAAACAAGGGTGATGCCAATAGTGATGATTCCACCAGTGCTTTGATTTCCACAGTAAATTACACAAGTTCTGTAAAGGACATAAAACCTTATCAGCAGGTGCTGTTAGTAAAGCCGTGCCTCTGAGCTGCTGCCATGGATAAAAGGTGAATGAGTTGAAGAGCTCCCAGCAGAGCTCTGCCCTGCACCCACCCTTCTCCGTGGGGTGGGTTCTGCTGACGGGCCTGTGTGTGCTGTGCACCTTGGGACAACATGTGGGCTCTCAGTGCAGCTACACCAAGGCTAAGTCTGTACCTTGTGTTCGTCTAGGAAGAAAAGGTGAAGAAGGGGCATGTGGGCTGCCAGGCCCAGACGGCTTACCTGGGGCACCTGGACCACCAGGTGACCAAGGGAGCAGAGGAGAGCAAGGGTACGCAGGGCCACAAGGTGAGGATGGAGCATGGCCTTTGGGTGAGATGTGACAAGATGTACAAAGTTTTCCCTCTACTCCCCCAGTTCACACATTGATACATCCCCCTCTAGCCTGAGACACCACAATGCTTCTTTCCCCCTCTCAGTCCAGGCACTGATAGTGACATTTGTCAATGATTTCATAATGCATAGAAAGACCTCCTGGAAGATCTTGGCGTCCGTTATTAACCAGCAAGGCAATTACCCACACGTGCTGAAACACCATCTATCAACAGGCACGTGTTTCTGAGCCAGGGCTAACAGCACCACTCTGCCAGGAATTACAAGTGCATTTTTACTGTGACTATTCTTTAATAAATTAATGTCTTAATACCTAAGTAAGAAAAGGGGATCAGCTGTTACTGCAGGGATTTAAACTCCGTCCACACAAATCATCCTAGTTTAGGAAACGATTGCCCACCAAAGTTCATTTCTTAATCCACGCAGCACAGGACAGAGGCACAACAGAAAAGCCAACTGTTGAGCACTCAGGGGCAGCCTTGTTCATTCCTGTCCCATAAGAAGGGTAACTTGAGTCAACTGATGTCTTTATTGCCCATGACATCCTGTAAAGTTGTATTACATTCAGTCAGGAACCCCCTGCTGATCACTTAAATACAGTAGAATATAAACTTTCACCCAAGCTATGTCTTCATTCAAGTAAATTTCTTTTACCTCTTCTCCTCTGTATAAGGTCCCCCTGGCCAGACTGGTATCCCAGGACCACCAGGCCCCCATATTAGGTCTGCAAGCGGATTCTTGCTCGTTGTCCACAGTCAGTCAGACAGAGAACCACTCTGCCCACAGGGGATGCCCAAATTATGGACTGGCTACAGTCTGCTGTACCTGGAAGGACAAGAGAAAGCTCATAATCAAGACCTTGGTAAGTATTGTATTAGACCTCAAGTGAAGAGTAATTATATACAAGAAGTATATATATACTGTGTCTATACAAGTCAAACGGAGCACACTGTAGAGTCATCAATCACTTATTTTCTACAGACTCAAAACTAATTTACAGTGATTATAATGACCTCAGTTATGCTGCTCTGTTCTGTGACCCATTTAAAATGGATTTCTGCTGCTATGCAGTGGAACGAAGAAAGTATTTCTACCTCTAAGCAGTTGTGAGTGGAGGTTGGAGAGATGAATGCTTTATTTTGCTCATCCTGGCTAGTCATTTTGGGCTGTCTTTGAGCTCTCTGGAGAGGTTTTCCTATATCAGTAAACTCATCTAGCCACTCAAAATGCTCCCTGGAGGATCTGCTCCTTTGTACAGTAGAAACAGCTTGGGAGAAGAGTCGGTTCAGTTTGGTGGGCAGGGCTGAGTAGTACAAATAAGCTTTACAGATGAAATTACACATCATATGTGCAGCACAATTGTGTGCTTTTGACTCAGAAGCTATTATTTTTTTTTAAAGAGACAGAGCCAAATTTCTCCTTAAGTCAGCTCCTTTTGGTGTTTTGGTCATTTCTTCTACATCTTCAACAATTTTGACTGAAATTAGCTGTCTAAATAAGCTGCCTGACTTGCAGCCTGAGAAACAGATTGGTGGCAATTTGCATGGAAGAAATTTCCCAAATTCTTGTTGACTTGTTAGACAGGAGGCAGAGAAGTCTCCTAGGAGGAAAGATAAAGGACCGAATATGCTGGACAAAGAAGAGACATGTTTAGAAGAGCAATAAAAAGATACATTTTTAGTAGAGCAGTGTTATTTTGGGATGTTTTCATTACCATGTGTTTGATGATCCCCGGAAGAGATGGTTGGTACCAGAATGCCTTACAACAGCAGGTTCCAGAGAAAATGAAGTCCTTGTTTCCTATGCCCAGTGTGTTGTTTTTGCAGCATTTTCTGAGGATGGAAAATGCAGATTCCTTCATTAGTACTAGGTGGAATACTATCAGTGATAAACAAAACTGGCTTCTGTCTAGGAACATCACAGGTCTTTAAGGAAAGTTTTAGGGCTTAGGGTGTTGTGGAAATAACACATCACAAAGTTCAAGGCAGATCATACACACAGTGATTATTAACTAAACAGGTCACTGTGAACCTGTTCTGAGTGCAGTTCTGGAAGAGGAACTTCCCCTCTGCACTGCCTCATTCCCACCCGTGTCTGCCTGATGAGAACTGTACAGGACTGGCTCTGCAAAACCCCTCAAGTCCTTTCAACTCGATCTGAGAGCCCATGAGACCTTCTAGGAAGGCCCTAGAACAGCTGCTGAGACTTGGGCTTAGTGCACCAGTAGCACTGGCTTGTCATGCTGTACAACAATTTTCTATTCATCAGCACTGGCATTTGGTTCCTCACAGCTCCCAATGAGATCCCATCTCCTTTTAAACCAGCCGCCACCTCCTGCTGGATTTGTTTTTCAGCATTGGCTCAGCTGAGAAGTTTGTTACCAACTGTTCCCAACAACAAATGCCATCATGTTTCGATACTGTACTGTGACACAAATAGTATTTGTTAAAGGAAAATACTTACTGGTAAAAAAAGTTTCTGTTTTCAATCTTACTGGCCGTTTTGGTCCAAAGCCCTGGGGGTTTAAGCCGGTGAGTTGTCAGAGCTGGTGAGACGCGGCGCTTTCCGCAGCGCCGGCCAGAACAGCGCTGCAGCTCCCCGGCGAAGCAGCG